TGGATGTTGAAGCCCAGGGGGGAAATGAGGCTTACCCCACTCCCAGGTCCACTCACTCCATGCGTGGCCCAGCGAGCCCAGGGTGCACGCAGCCTCCAGCTCCACCTGCCCTGCTTTGCGGAAAGCTTCCTGTTCACCAGGTCAGCACCCGTATCAGACAGGCCCCAACAAGATGCCCCGCTCGGCAGCTGCACAGGCGGCTTGCAGAGTGGGGGAGGCATTAGGGTGAACTGTAGGGAAGGGAGCAGGGGCGGAGTCTCCCTGGAGGGGGATGAGATGCAAAGAGAATGCACCCTTGGGTGGGGGTGGGGTGCCCATGGCTGTATTCCAGCTGTGGGACCTGCAGATCTGGCGACTGGTTTGCTGAGGAAAGAACCTATGTCTGGATATCAGTTTCCTGGCACCAGGTCCAGGCCAGTGGACAGGTTTGCAGGGTACAAGGCCCGTTGGGCTCCCTGAGGCACCCTTCTGGCCCACACCACCTAGCACCACTGTTTTGAAACACCTTGTGAAAACAAGTCAATTTGTATCACCTTCCTGCTTAAAATTTTCCAGTAGCTTCCCATAGTATTTCAATTAAAATCCAAACTCCTTACTATATCCAGGATGGCCTCATACTATCTGGGCCCTGCCTTCTTCTACAGTGATTGCTCACCAAGCTGCAGCCATACGGGCCCTTTCTCCTCCGCAGGCATACCAAACTGGGATCTGCCTCAGGGCCTTTGCACTTGCTGTGTCCCTCTCCTTGATATTCTCACATGGCTGGCTCCTTCTTGTTATCCAGTTCTCAGCTCAGATGTCACCTCCTAACCCTCCGTTTGATGTAGTGTCCTTCCCTTATTTATCACATCGCTCCATTTTCTCCAGGGCAGTTATCACCACACAGTATGGTCTTGCTTATTTGTTTAATGACTGTCTCTTGCACTAGACATTGGGCTCCACGAAGACAGGAGCTTTATGTATCTTATTCATGAATGAATTCCCAGTGCCTAGTTCAGTGCCTGGTGTATAAGTACTAGTTGAAAAATTGAACTATTTGGACTTAGGAAAAGCAATGACAGAATGAAAGCGGAAAGAACCTTAACGAGCATCTCTTACTTTTTGAAGCTGGAAAATAGTCCTAAAGAAAGAAAGGGTCCGGCCCTGGCCTGTTTGGCTCAGTGGATAGAGCGTCAGGCTGCGGACTGAGGGGTCCCAGGTTCGATTCCAGACAAGGGCACATACCTGGATTGCTGGCTCAATCCCCAGTAGGGGGTGTGCAGGAGGCAGCTCATCAATAATTCTCTCTCATCATTGATGTTTCTATCTCTCTCTCCCTCTTCCTTCCTCTCTGAAATCAATAAAGAAATATATTTTTAAAAAGAAAGAAAGAAAGAAAGAGAGAGAGAAAGAAAGAAAGAAAGAAAGAAAGAAAGAAAGAAAGAAAGAAAGAAAAGAAAAGAAAGAAAGGAAAGAAAGGAAAGAAAGAAAGATTCCTGCTGGTGAGGCTCAGAGGTTGGGTGTCAACCTATGAGCCAGGAGGTCACAATTTGATTCCTGGTCAGGGCACATGCCCAGGTTGCGGGCTCAGACCCCGAGCAATGATTCTCTCTCATCATTGATATTTCTATCTCCCTCGCCTTCTCCCTTCCTCTCTGAAATCAATAAAAATAATTTTTTTTTTAAAAAAAGAAAGGGACTTGCCCAAGGTCACATGGTGAGAACTAAAGCCAGGTTCTTTCCTCCCAACCATGCTGCCAGAAAGAGAAGCTGTAGTCACATGAATCTAACTGTTCGGGCTCTTGCTAACTGCATCACATCGGGTAAGTTGCTCAACATCTCTGAACCTTAGTTTTCTCAGCTGTAAGATGGGGCTATTCATTGGGGTATTATGGAGACCGAATAAGGCCATGCACATGAATGTGCTGTGCACAGTGCCTGGCCCATAGGAAAGCACTCACTAAATCTTCGTTATTATTAGTTTTCAAAGTCAAGGCAGAATCAAAGCCTAAGTTTGGGGTGAGGGTGGGGGCCCCTGAACCCTCTGGGAAGGACCAGCCTGCACCCTGGCAGAGCAGGAAGCCGCTGGTCGCTGGTCGAGTCTGAGCTTGCTGGCCCTGCCACAGGCTGTTCTGGGAAGCTGCGAGCAGGCGCTTGTCTGGGGTGGGGCCTCAGGCTTTTGGCTCCCCAGGCCCGGAGAGAGATCTGCATGTGGGTGAATGTGCACGTTTGCAAGAGGCACACACGCTTAGGAGGCAAATTTTGAATAATTTTTGTGGGTTCATTAGTTGTACATGCCTACTTGACAGAATGAGTATGATGTGAGTAAATAAATTGATAGGGTGGGGCTTGTGTGTGCACAGGTGTGAGCAAGTGCAGGTGGGGGTTCATGAATGGACCCTTTTAGGATATGTGTGACTCAAACTCTGCCTCCTTGTCACTCCCGACCCCATTTCAAAGATGGGAAGACAGCAGAAGGTGGTTCACAACACACAGGTTCTGGCTGTGTGACCTTGGCAAACGGCTTACCTTCTCAGATCCTAAATTTCCCTTCTTCATAATACCATTTTGATAAGGACATTAGTTAATGTACACAAAAGCTAAACATAGTATGCAACATGGTTCTCAACAAATACAAAGTACTGTTACTTTCTAGCCAGCTGGCTCATACTATTGGCTGTTGAGTTTGTGGGTAATGAAAACTGTCAGGTGTATTATCACGTCACCCCCTCTCTGTTCTTGTGCAGGCTGGTTTTTGCAGGTAACTGCTGTAGGGCTTTAGTGAGACCCTGATTAATTTCACCCTGTGATTCAGCCCACTGTTCCCGCTCCTCAGAATCTCGATTCTGATATTCAGAAACTTGGCGGTTGTAACATCCATGTCTTAACCCAAGTCATTGATGAGTCTGAGCAGAGCTCCGAGGAGCAGGGCTCTGAGACCTTCCCTGTTTTCTTGGTTAGTGATCTCAGGTGCAATCTTGAAACGAGTCCTCTCAGAATGTGGAGAGCTCCCCGTCCCTGGGGGCATCCAAGCAGAGTCTAGGTGGCCCTTGGGGAAGATGAGAAGAGCTCTAAAGCATCTTCGATCTTATGCAGGTACTAGAGGCCCAGTGCACAAAAATTTGTGCACTCAGGGGGTC